AAAATGCCTACATACTGATAAGCACGTACATACAAGACACATTTAAGGCTGTTTTAGTATAATTTTTGCAATTTTAAATTTATTTCTTGATGTCTAAATCGTATATATTTAAATGGTGATGAATATTTTGTGATACAATCTTACGATAAAATGCATTTTAGTTTCAAAAATAATATGTATTTAATGATTTGACTACTGTTAATAAAAAAAATACGTAAGAAGATGTTCATATTGAATTAATTTGGTGTTCATAGTTTGATGATAACCCATAGTTATTCTGGAGGCAAATTAGATGACTTGTTACTTATTAATTAAAGTAGTGGTCGTTTAATTTCGTATACCTTTAAAGTGGACGAAGGGACGCATATTTGACAAAAAAATCGAGGAGACGAAAAATCGAGAAGTCGAAAAATCAAAAAATTGAGAAACCGAAATAGGCCAAAATCGAAAAATCGAAAACTTAAATATGGAAAAATTGATAAAGCGAGGGATTGAATAATCAAAACATCGAAACATCCGAATCTCAATGAATTTAAACATTCGTAAATTTAAAAAATTAAAATATAGAACTGGAAACTCGAGAAACTGAAAAATCTAGAAATTTAAAAATTAAAATATGAAAAAGTTGAAAAATACAGAAATTGAAATAAAAAACAAAAAACTGAAAATCCAAAAATAAAAAATAGAAAAATCTAGAAGTCGAAAAATAAAAGAATCGAAGTATTGAAAAATATCAAACCTGAAAGAAATATCCAAAAATTGAGAAATCGACAAACCATTAAACGAAGTCGAAAAATCGAAGAATTGAAGAACTGAAAAATCGAAACTTTGAGAAGTGGGAAAATCAAAAATAGATTAATTGAGAAATCAGAAAACTGAAAATTTAACGCAAAAATTTGAAAAATTCAAAAATTTAAATACTGAAGAACTGAAAAGTCAAAAAATCGAGAAATCGAAAAAACTAAAATTTAAAACAATGAATAATTAAAATATCGCAAAATTGAAGAATCGAGAAATCCAATTCAATTTGAAAAATTGAAAAATCGGGGCATTGAAAAATTGGAAAATCCAGAAATTGAAAAGCTCAAAAGAAAAAAATCGAAAATCCGAAAAATCCAAAAATCGAAACATCGAAAAATTCAAAAACTGAGACTTCGAGAAATCGAAAAATCGGAGGATCGAGAAATTGAGGAGTCGGAAGCCGAAAAGGAAAGTTAAAAATTGAAAAATTGAGAAATTGAACAATCAAAACAACGAAACATCTGAATTCGATAAATTGAGAAATTAAAAAATTGAATAATCGAAAAATTTAAAAAAAAAACTAGAAAATCAAAAATTAAAATTCAAAAAATCGAAAAATTGAAATATAGAAGAACTGAAAACTCGAGATATCGAAAAACCTAGAATTTTAAAAAATGAAATATTAAAACATCGAAAAGTTTAAAAATTGAGAAATCGAACCATTAAACAGTCCCAGAATTGAAAAATCTAAAGTTTACAATAAATTGAAAATCCAAAAAGGAAAAAAGCGAGAAATCAAAAAAAATCCATCAATTCAAAAATCGAAAAGTCGAAAAATTGAAATATTGAAAAATCTCATAACTGAAAGAAATATTCAAAAAATTGAGAAATTAAAAAATTGGAAAATTGAGAAATCGAAAATCTAAAAAAGCAAAATTGAAAAATCGTAATCTTAAAAAATCGAAAAATTGAAGAATTGAAGATGTGAAAAATCGAAACTTTAGGAAATCCAGAAATGGACAAATAAAAAAAATACTTTAGAAATCGGCAAACTGAAAATTTAGAAACGTGAAAATTTGAAAAATTGAAAAATCGAAATATTTAAAAACCGTAAAATTGAAGAGGACAAAAATTGAGAAATCGTATCATTGAAACATCGAAAGATTGAGAAATCGAAAAATAAATAGAAAGAATAGAGAAATAGAAAATTTAAGGAATGGAGGAATCGGAAAAGCCCAAAATTGAAATATTGAAAAATTGAGACATTTAAAGTTGAAAAATCGAGAAATCGACAAGCCGAAAAATCCCAATAGCGTATTTAGGTATAAATCACAAGATCAGGACTATTCTACTTTTTAAAATTTAAATAACATTATAAATTGGAAAATGCTGATTTTTTTCCAAAAATCTTGACGTCTAAGGTGAAAACCCGACACGGATGCATAAACGGGGTAAACGGGGCGAAACTACAATTTTACTATTGTAAAATTTGGAGATTGCTTCATTTCATTGTTCGTGACAAATTTTGGAGAGTGTAATTTGATAACACAATTTGAAATGTAAATTTTGTCATTCGGGAACATTATGTATTAAATCGTTAAGATGTTCAAGAACTTTGTTCACTTATTCGTTGTAAAGTCCAATGGTCGAAATGGGTTAGTTCTTCGTAGTGGATGTGTATTAGATCAACTCTAACGAATATCGGTTTATAGATAAATCGCTTAAAGCCGATATTGGCCTGAGTGTGCTTTGGTCTGTAGATCAAACAAGTTCTCAGGCGACGAAAAATTGCATGTGAAGGGAGACTTCGGATTACAAATCGTGTCAAGAAAGACATATTTGGGAGAGATGGATTTTCAGGTACTTGACTAGCGGTAATTTTAAATTGTTTGCTGTCGTTCGCGAAGTGAAGAACACAATTTCATTAAAATGATAATTATAAAATTATGATAATCACTATTGGTGTTAATTAACACAAAATGGCGCGCAAGTTATCAGTTGATTTCGTTAATAAATTCATAGAAACCTATATGGGATTTTTTCATGCCTTAGAAAATTAAAAAGTAAAAAATACAATAACAGAAATTTTAAAATGCGGTTTACGAAAAATTAGTTGACCTGTGCAAAGAAGAAAATTTTGGAAACGCTGACAAATATGACATCTTAAAAAAAATAACACTTGAAGAAGTGCTTTCGGCGTAATATTTTTGATGCTCGCGTGAACAAAATACTCTATGTCAGTGTGCAGTGCGCAGAGTTAACTGTGCAGATCTAGCCGAAAATCCGAAAACCAAATCGCTGTGTGTAGGGCCAGCATAACGGAAGTAATAAATCATCCCATCGGTTGAAGAACGTTGGGTCGGTGCACTGATGTCGGTGTTATATCCCGAGAGGGATATAACACCGGAACAGACCATGAAACCATGGAACAGACAAAATAAACCTTCAAACATAATTATTTTTATACTAAAATTCTGAAGTTTATAAACTGCACATTTTATTTATTTATTTATTTATTTATTTTATCTTGTTTTCGAACTATAATAAACATTTCAAACAATGTCTGTAACTTATTTTAATGTAAATTATATTCATGTGGTTAACAAAATCAGATGTAATGTTAGTGTGATTTTGACCTTATTCTAGATTTTATTACAGCAGAACGCCGTATCCTTTTTAAATTTTAGAAGTTACGGAAACTAGTGCAAGAAACAATTAGTTATCTCGTATTTTTGGAACAAAATCTACCAAAATGTCCGATAACAGCAATTGTTTTTCATAGAAACAAACAGTCTTCAAAGCAGCCTTTAACAACTCGATATTACAAACATGTCTCTTAAGTTCTTTGTGCGTTTTTTTCTCTCTTGTAATTATTTGTAATGTTAACGCCGAAAGTTGATGTCATTCTGTTATTTACTTTGAACATATATTTTCATTTTGTGTTAATATTTTTGTAACACCACGAATCTAAATTTTACTTAAAATCTTGTTTTACTTTAATCTTGTAAAACTAAACAATTATACCAGTTTAAAAACCCTTGGAAAGTTTCTGTCAGTCGTCAGATATAGTCAAATAAAAATAAGCGTCAAATTCATTTAAATACAATTCTTTTGTATCACGTTACAACGCGTTGCTTCATATTTTTTATGTCAAGAATATTTTCATATTTTGTACATATATTTTATACACATTACTGTTTGCGGAACAATGTTAATTATGGATTTATGGATAACTCCTCGTATAAGAGCAGAGTGAAGGGTGTTTGCCTTTGCTAATGTTTGATGGCGCCATCTGATTTAGAGTAAAATAAACCTAATACGTTAGCTCACTGTAGTGAAAATGCGCGTTGACGAAAAATTTGTCCCACGCCCCCTGGATTCCTTGTCCTAAAGCTCACTATTTAGGCGAAGTAAAATTTGTATTAGGTTGTCCAACTATAATATACTTAAACAATGCTTCTACTGAACCTATGAAAATGCTGTTTAATACGTACATTATATCACGCTTACAGTATGGTTGCCTAATTTGGTATCCAATCTATTATTGCTATATTAATGTCATCGAATCAGTTAAAAAAAAATTTCTTAAATATTTATGGTTTAAAAAATATGGCACCTACCCTGCTAGAGGATGTGACAATTTGATACTTCAAAGAGAGTTTAATATACCGTCTTTACATGCTAGAAGAGAAGTTAGTGCTGTAATGTTTCTTTTTAAAATCGTCAATTATAAAATTGACTGCAGTGAACTTTTGGCCAAAATCTTCTTTCATGTACCACGTGTAAATAACACTCTTTACCTTGGCATCTATCCACCGCTCGCACAAATATTTTGGTAAAAAGCCCGATTAATGTTATGTGTAGTAATTTTAACAACAAACTGAGAGATTGTGACATTTTTAATATAAATCTAAAAGATCTTAAGTATTTAGCTTAAGTATCTTCGCAAGAGAGTAATTATTAATTATCACTTATGTTTAGAATTATTGTTATCATTATTATTATTATTTTTTTTTTTTTACTTCATCTTATCTTTTTCGTGTATTTTTCTACTTGCTAAGTAACTCTTAATTTAGACTTATTATTCAGGTATCCGGTATATTTATTTGTACTTATTTATTTACTTTTCTTTTTTTGTATTGATAATACATTAGTTTGTGTCAATTGCTCTGTAATAGGTTCATATGAGCTGTTGGGCAATAAACATATTATTATTATTATTATTATCATATTATGATTAAGACTTCTTGAAAACTCACTTGGTTAATATGCTCCGCCCCCGTCCACGTGAAACTGCACGTGTCGTTGCAGCACAGCACGTGCAAAGGCGAATGGTCCGGGTTCGACCCCTTCGGAAAGATCATCTCCTCCCTCTCCTGCGCCGTCCCCAACTTAATAATCTTCTCGAAAATCTCCAACGCCGCTGGGTAGCTCCTCGACGACACCGCCAACATGAACGGCGTCTGTCCTTGCGCATCCCTGTCAACCACCAGTTACAAGTTGCCAACTCTAGAAAATTAACTACTCACTTCGCGCACAGGAGTTCGATCAAATGGGGCTCGAGCGCCGCCGAGTCGTACAGCAGCGCGTGCAGGATCTGCATGGCGTTCGAGCGCCGCTCGGCCGGGTCGACGACGAGGTTCGCCGGGGCGCCGCCCCCGCCGCTGCCGCCCTTGTTGGCGGCGCTGCTGCCCAAGCCCATTAAGCTGTCTTCGTCGCCCGACGTCACGTCGAACGACTCCGGCGGCCAGCTGTGCGTCGGTATCGGCTCCTCTTGGACGAAGCTGTGCTGATCTGCGGAGTTACAATTGTTGAGTGCGCGTTCGGAAGAAGAACGGACAGGTCTACGCATCATATTCACGCATTCCAAGCCTGCATTCGACGCGGTACATTTTGACGTTTCTGTAAATGGTCCCAGAGGCTAAGAGGGTGGGCGGGGCTACGTACACGAGCATGCGCAGGAGCGTGCGGGGACGACATGCGAGCGGGAGTGTGCGTGGGGGCCGATTTCCAGGTTGAGGATTTAGTGTTAGTGGTTGGTGGAATTTATGTTTTCAAGGTTGATCGTTTCAAATGTTTCCCAAAATTTCAAAAATTCCAATATTTATAATAATTATGCAAAATGCATGAAGATGGCGCTAATTACCCAATGACTTTTTGAGGTTAGCAAAATATAAACTTGTCGCTAATGTTGCCGTTGACGTTGGGTTTTCAACCAATCAAATTGCAGTATTGTGCAGTGCTGCCAACTTGAAGGAAAATGCCCTGAAGTAAGGGAGACATTTTTCTGATTGACAGCACTAATTCCACGAAAATCAAATTCTGATAGAGATAATGAGGTCCACTAATTTTAAGCCAATTATTTTCACAATAAGAAAGGTAAAACATGTGTAAAATGGTAAATTTTTGTAGGAAAATATCAATTTTGCAATTAGGCTCCGCCCCTCGGTGTGATAATGAATAAAAAATTCATCACAATTGAGATAGGGCGGGTGGGTGGGGTTTATATTTTGCCTTTTTTCTTAACATATGTGGTCAATCTTTTCAGAACAAGAAACTTAAAACATGTTTAAATTTGTATAAGGAAATATCGATTTTGCAATTACGCTCCGCCCCTCGGTCTGATAACGAATGAAAAATTTATCACGATTGAGATCGAGACGGTTTTTCTTTTAAATCAATATATTTAGTTTTCTTTGTATTACACGATTACTTAAGAACATATTCCACATGGTAATTTCTCGTTGGGAAATAAGGATTTTACAATTAATTAGGCTCCGCCCCTCGGCTTAAGACGAATACAAAAAATAATCAGAATTGCGATAGGGTGGGTGAGTGGGGCTTATATTTTGCTTTTTTTTTTTCTTAATATACATAGCCATCTTTTCACTACAACAAACTTAGACATACTTAAAATGGTACATTTTTACAAAGAAATATGGATTTGTAATTATAGGGCGGAGGCTAATTGCAAAATCCAAATTTCCTTATACAAATTTTCCATTTTAAATATGTTTTAAGTTTCATGTTATGAAAAGAAGTCACACATATTAAAACCAAAAAGGCAAAACGTAAGCCCGCCCACCCGCCCTGTCTCAATTGTGATGATTTTTTTATTCGGCGTGAACCAAGGCGGCGGAGCTTAACTGCAAAATCTTTATTTCTATACAAGAAATTAAAAATATGTTTTTGAGTAGCGTGTTTTTCAAAGAATACTGTGTATAGTAAGAAAAAAAGGCAAAATATGGGGCCCGCCCACCCACCCCATCCTAATTGTGATGATTTTTCTTATTCTTAGAAAGTTGAAACACGTTTAAAATGGTGAATTTTTGTAGGTAAATATGGATTTTGCAATTAGGCTCCGCCCCTCGGTGTGACAATGAATGAAAAATTGATCACAATTGAAATAGGGTGGGCGGGTGGGGCTTATATTTTGTTGTTTTTTTTTTTTTTTTCTTAATATACATAGCCATCTTTTCACCACAACAAACTTAGACATACTTAAAATGGTACATTTTTACAAAGAAATATGGATTTGTAATTATAGGGCGGAGGCTAATTGCAAAATCCAAATTTCCTTATACAAATTTTACAGTTTAAACATGTTTTAAGTTTCATGTTATAAAAAGAAGTTACACATATTAAAACCAAAAAGGCAAAACGTAAGCCCGCCCACCCGCCCTGTCTCAATTGTGATGATTTTTTTTATTCGGCGTGAACCAAGAGGGCGGAGCTTAACTGCAAAATAGTTATTTCTATACAAGAAATTAAAAACATGTTTTTGAGTAGCGTGTTTTTCAAAGAATACTGTGTATAGTAAGAAAAAAAAAAAAGCAAAATATGAGTCCCGCCCACCCACCCCATCCTAATTGTGATGATTTCTCTTATTCTCAGAAAGTTGAAACACGTTTAAAATGGTGAATTTTTTTAGGTAAATATGGATTTTGCAATTAGGCTCCGCCCCTCGGTGTGACAATGAATGAAAAATTGATCACAATTGAGATAGGGTGGGTGGGTGGGGCTTATATTTTTCCTTTTTTTTTTTCTTAATATACATAGCCATCTTTTCACCACAAAAAACTTAAAACATAGTTAAAATGGTACATTTTTACAAGGAAATATGGATTTGTAATTATAGGGCAGAGGCTAATTGCAAAATCCAAATTTCCTTATACAAATTTTCCATTTTAAACATGTTTTAAGTTTCATGTAATGAAAAGAAGTTCCACATATTAAAACCAAAAAGGCAAAACGTAAGCCCGCCCACCCGCCCTGTCTCAATTGTGATGATTTTTTTTTATTCGGCGTGAACCAAGGGGGCGGAGCTTAACTGCAAAATAGTTATTTCTATACAAGAAATTAAAAACATGTTTTTGAGTAGCGCGTTTCTCAAAGAATACTATGTATAATAAGAAAAAAATGCAAAATATGAGGCCCGCCCGCCCACCCCATCCTAATTGTGATGATTTTTCTTATTCTTAGAAAGTTGAAACACGTTTAAAATGGTGAATTTTTGTAGGTAAATATGGATTTTGCAATTAAGCTCCGCCCCTAGGTTTGGCGACCAATGAAAACTGCATTACTACATATTTAGATCAGGACAGGAATGGGTGGGGCTTAACTTTGGGTTTCATTTTTTCTTAATACACATTCTATTCTTTGAATAACAGGATTCTCAAAAAATGTTTTTAATGTCTCATAGAGAAATAAGGATCTTGCAGTTAAGCTCCGCCTTCTTCACTCACGACGAATAAAAAAAATCATCACAATTGAGACAGGGCGGGTGGGCGGGGCTACATTCTGCCTTTTTTTTCTTAATATGTGTAGACTTATTTTGATAACAAGAAACTGAAAACATGTCTAAAATGGTATATTTTTGTAGTAATCAACTTAAATCCGCCACTTGGTTAAAATGGTACGCTTTTGCAAGGAAATATGAATTTTGAAATTAAGGGGAGTAGCCTAAATGCAAAATTGATATTTCCTGACAAAAATTTTCCATTTTAAACATGTTTTAAAGGTCATGTTCTGAAAAGAAGTCTACACAGATTAAAACAAAAAGGAAAAATGTAAGGCCGCCCACCCGCCCAATCTCAAATTGTAAGGATTTTTTTTATTCGGCGTGAGCCAAGGGGGCGGGGCTTAACTGCAAAATACTTATTTTTTTACAAAAAATTATAGACAATTTTGAGTATTGTGTCGTTCAAAGAATACTACGTATATTAAGAAAAAGAGGCAAAATATAAACCCCGCCCACCCACCCTACCTCAATTGTCATGAATTTTTCATTCATTGTTAGACCAAGGGGCGGAGTCTAATTGCAAAATCTATATTTCCTTACAAAAATTTACCATTTTAAACGTGTTTCAAGTTTATAAGAATAAAAAAAATCACCACAATTGAGATAGGGTGGGTGGGCGAGGTTTATGTTTTGCCTTTTTATCTTAACATACAGTATGACCCCGGATTGAGTCCACAAGAGGAAAAAAAAGTGTATCTTCTTTTTTACAAAAAAATGACATAGGAATAACATTTTTTGCTTAATTCAAAACGAATAAATCTGCAATTATAATTTTAATATTATCAGACTGTGTCGTTAAAATCTAAAAAAACTAAAAGTAACGAAGAACTTAAAAATAAGAAAAATTAATTTTAAGAGTACAGACCAGAAATATTGAAGTTTTAATTGCAGATTTATCCGTTTTGAATTAAGCAAAAAATGTTATTCCTATGTCATTTTTTTGTAAAATAGAATAACAGTTTTTTCCTCTTGTGAACTCAATCCGGGGACACTGTACATAGTATTCTTTGAATAACACGATACTAAAAAACATGTTTTTAATTTTTTGTAAAGAAATGAGTATTTTGCAGCCAAGCTCCGCCCCCTTGGTTCACACCGAATAAAAAAAATCACCACAATTGAGATAGGGTGGGTGGGCGGGCTTACATTTTCCCTTTTTGTTTTAAGGTGCGTAGACTTCTTTTAACAACATGAAACTCAAAACATGTTTAAAATAGAAAATTTGTATACGGAAATATCGATTTTTCAATTAGGCTCCGCCCCATAATTGCAAAATACATATATCCTTGCAAAGACAAATCATGTTTTAAGTTTCTTGTCATTAAAATAAGTCTACACATATTAAGAAAAAAAGGCAAAATGTAAGCTCCGCCCACCCGCCCTATCTCAATTGTGATGACTTTTTTTATTCGTCTTGAGCCAAGATGGCGGAGCTTAACTTCAAAATCCTTATTTCTATACGAAAAATTATAAACATGTCTCTGAGTATCGTGTTGTTCAAAGAATACCATGTATATTAAGAAAAAATTAAAGCCAAAGATTAAGCCCCACCCATACCTGCCCTGATCTAAAAAGTAATGAAGTTTTCATTCGTTCCTAGACGTAGGGGCGGAGCCTAATTGCAAAATCCATATTTCCTTACAAAATTTACCATTTTAAACGTGTTTTAAGTTTCCAAGAATAAAAAAAAATCATCACAATTGGGATGGGGTGGGTGGGCGGTGTCTATATTTTGCCTTTTTTTCTTAATATACATAGTATTCTTTAAACAACACGATACTCAAAGACATGTTTTTAATTTCTTGTAAAGAAATAGGTATTTTCCAGTTAAACTTCGTCCTCTTGGTTAACGCGAATAACAAAGGTCATCACAATCGAGACAGGGCGGGTGGGCGGGCTTATATTTTACCTTGTTGTTTTAATAGGTGTAAAATTCTTTTCGCAATATGAAACTTAACCCATATTTCCTTGCAAAAATGTACGATTTTAACCATGTTGTAAGTTTCTTGCGAAAAGATGACCATCTATATTAAGAAAAAAAGGCAAAATATAAGCCCCGCCCACCCGCCCTGTGTCAATTCCGACGAATTTTTTATTCGGCGTGAACCAAGGGGGCGCAGCTTAACTGCAAAATACTTATTTCTTTACAAGAAATTAAAAACATGTTTTTGAGTATCGTGTTGTTCAAAGAATACTATTTATATTAAGAAAAAAAAGCAAAATATTAACCCCGCCCACCCACCCCATCTCTATATTGTGACGATTTTTTAATTCTTAGAGACTTAAAACACGTTTCAAATGGTAAATTTTTGTAAGGAAATATGGATTTTGCAACTAGGCTCCGCCCCTAGGTCTGAGAACGAATGAAAAATTCATCACAATTGAGAATTGAGATCTGGGTGGGGCCTAATCTTTGGCTTTATTTTTTTCTTAAGAGTAGTCGCTACATTTGGCTCTAGTGTTATTGTCAATGTATTTTCAGAACAACTTTCACTAAATAATTACGAGGACATTCATTATTATACATTTTTTAAATTTTGTTGAAATCTTTGCGTCACGTATTTTGAAAAATCAATATTTCAGTTATTAATGGAAATTTTGGAAAGCGGTTTACACCACTGTTTTCAGCTTGCAAAACTTTAAATTTTCGACTTGATTTAGTATATAACCGAGACATTGATTTTTTAAAATACGCTATACAAAAATTAAAAAAAAAAGTATGATCACAAACTGTTTTTAGCACAACTGTCTTTGCATTATATGAAGCTATGGAGAGCTTATATTTAAAATTTCACAACTATAAGTCTGTTAATATTGGACATATTACATTCTGAAAATGTATCGAAAATTCCATGCAGAAAATGTAGCGACTGGCTTTAATATTCCTAGCATTTTTTGAACAACTCGATACTCAAAAACATATTTTTAATTTGTAGTAAAGAAATAAGAATTTTGCAGTTAAGTTCCGCCCTCTTGACTCACGACGAATAAAAAAAATCATCACAATTGAGATGGGGTGGGTGGGCGGGGCTACATTTTGCCTTTTTTCTCTTAATATGTGTAGACTTACCTTGTCAACAAGAAACTGAAAACATGTTTAAATTTTTGTAGTAATTAACTGAAATCTGCCACTTTTCTTCTACAACCCCTTTAAATACGACAAAAGTTGAACATAAAAGTTACTATCAGCGGCAACTTGGCAACAGAGCAGACAATTTTCAGCTCTAAAAACAACGTCAGGGGAACTTCAACGTCAACAGCAAGTTTATAAATCCTACTTTAGTTACCCATGTTATGAAAATTCAACAAATTGATTTTTATTTTAATCAAGTAGCTTGTAACATTGGTTGCATACCCCCAAATATTTAAATCCGCTAAAACTCGACCCAAGCACAAAAAAAATCAAAAATTCAAAATATATTGAGTCTGGAAATCGGTTTCTGCCAAAGCAATTTTGCTCAACTTACCATTTTCTGAGTCCTTGTTCGACGTAGGCGTGCACATGTTGACGACGGCGTGGAAAATATTCCGATTGCCGTCGCACCTCTCACTCAAAATATTCGAAACAGGAGAAGTATTGGACTCTGCGCAAAACAAAAAAAATTAACCTCGCCGACTTAACCTAGCGACGAAACTTACTTAAGTCACCATCGAGCTGCGCAAGCACTTGCCTCACTCCATCGATATCACAACGTAAAATCTTCGGCATGAGCAGCTGCTGCTCCAAAGCGAAAACAACAATCGCCACTTGATTCTTCATGTTAAGACCGGTTCCGGTTAAACCGAACGTGCCGGCCGTTAAACACTTCACAGGCGGCAAATCCAGGCACTGGGGATCACGAATGGCGTCGGCGCAGTCTTTACCCAACGGATAAATCGTGCTGTTTCCATCGCGCAGGATGAGAATGGTTTCCGAACTCTACAGAACAAAAAAAAGAATAAACAATTCACCAATCGATAATCGTGCAACGAACCTCTCCGGCGCAAATCAAGTTAATCAAATGAGGATTCAGCCCCATGAACGACGCCGTGTCGCTGGGGAAAGGATTGTCTTGCTCGATCCGTCCGCTACTCACGTTGTAGACGACGTAGCTCAACTTGGACCCGTTTCGGACGATCGCGTGGATGCCCTGTCCGTCGACGGCGATGGTCAAGATCTGGTTGCCGTTGTCGGAGATCTGAATACGACGCGGAGTCTTCTGGAAACAGTCGGGGACGCGAGAGTTCGACGACGATTTGATCACCTGGAGGTCGTCTTTGCGCATCAGTCTACAGTCTTGGAAAATATCGTCGGCGTCTTTCGCGTCTCTGTCTCTGGAATGTCCACTTGGAAATCGAACGGCGGCGTAGGCGCCGTCTACTTTGAGAACGCGGCCTGCGGGCACGCTCCGCACGTCTTCCACGAAAATCACGTTCCTCAAAGGCCACTCCTCCTCGTCCTTGCGCTGCTCGGAGCCGGGGTCCGAGCCCGACACGGCCATGCGCTTTTGGCGCTCTGCAAGTTAATACGTGAGTTTTGCGCACGCACGCACAGAGTGCGATACTCACTGTGGCTGTTGGTGATGCTTCCCGTGTCGCTGCAGGTGCTCGAAGCCGGCGACGGCGGCGGCGGCATGTCCAACCTGTCGGCGTTCTCCTTGTTCGACGAACTCTTGCTCGTCAAATTCGCTGTAAACAAATCGAAAATCGGTGAACACTTCGTCTCGCTTTTTTTACAAAGTTAGTGGAAAAAAACGTAATCAGAAAGACTAATCGTCAGATCACAGTGAATCACTGGTTAGCATTTATCATCACGAATACAGTAAACTCCGTTTGTTCGTCGTCAAGCTACGTTTCGTGATCGTTGGGCGCAAGCTAGTTTGCCGGCCAAGGACTGAGAAATGTAGCGTCGCGATCCAAAACAAAACATCATCTTAGGAGCTGTTTGATGATTACCAGCATTGCCTATACGTGAAACAAGTAGTGCGGAGAGGGCGTCCCTATCGTGCGACGATGCACCACCTCGGAACGCTTTCGTTGGCCGATGGGCGGCGCCACTAGTCGCTGCGACGACAAAATTGCAACAGAAATAATCATAAAACAACAGTGTTTCTGACCACTCATATCATCATAAACCGGACTTTACTGTACTAAATCTAGAAAATCTCCAAGCCAAAAGTGACTTACATAACCCGCTCGGGCCTGGCACGCTAGCGTCTCTACTTTTATCGGAACTCAAGGTACCGTTTGTTTGCACGTTGATGATCTTGAACGTGCACGTGTCGCTCAAGGTCCACGCGGCATTCTGCAGCTGGCCGACCTTCGGCACGCCGTTGGCGATGGTGAAGCCGATGGCGCCGGCCTGGTACATCGGGCTGTTCTTCATACACACCTGGCTGCCGGTCACGATGTCCGACTGGTTGCTCGACGGCTTCTGCTTACGGCACTTCGTGCGGTACTTCTCCCAGAGGCGCTTGCGCTGCGCGAACGGAAGCACACCCCTGAAATTATCATCATCGTTGAACTGCGACTGCGCCACTTTCGCAGCCCGTAACCATAGACAAACTCAGATAAGACGCGTAGAAACATATGACGAATCTGGAAACATAGCGAATGCGCCGTCTGGACATTGAGTAAATGTAAAAATGAAAACCGCGCATCACGTGGCTCTGTTTATGGAAAGCTGAAGTTGCATGTGGTCCACCATTACTCATTTCTGTGAGATCAACTCCTATGAACGTTGTTTTCTTTATTCTGTGTTGTGGTTTGACTCGTTTCAAGTGTTTATTGGACAATATTTATGCGTTATTCGTTTATTCGATTATACAATAAAATTCCTATTGTTACTAGGAATTAGGTAAGTACTTTAATAATAATGTGGAAAGAAAATTGCGTTTTGTAAAATTTCACCCACTTTCCATCTCTGTATTTAATAGACTATTTATTACACACTGTTGATTTTAACCAATTTTACAGGAACATCGAAAATAATTAAATCAGAGTCACTGGGAGGAGGAAATAATTATAAATTAATATTGGTTTTTGATCTGAAGACTACAAAAGCACAAGTACCTACGTCATTACTTCTAGTTCTTGTTTGGTAAGTGTATAAATAGCTACCTATCTAATATTTTAAAAATTGTTACTTCATTACTTACTTCATTTCAATGAATTTCTGGTATTAATAACATTTTATTGTTGCAGGTTACAAACCCATTCTATAATATTACAGACGTGTGTCAGGAGGTAATTAGTATTATTATATTCTTTAGTAATATTTAGTTAGATTATTTGGTTGCGATTTTTCAATATGACAAAACAAATTGCTAGCTACAAATGTAGATACCCATTATGTACAAGTGCATATTACAGAGGCAATCAAAATAAAACTTTTTTTACATTCCCGTCTGTAGAATGTGTTAGAAAACAATGGTTTGAAGCTATGAACCATCACTTAATTAAAAAAGTTGAGTACTCTGCCACAAAAATGTATTTATGTGAAGATCATTTTTCTGACACTGCTTTTACAAGTACATTAAGGAAACGGTTAAATAAATTTGTAGTTCCATCATGTTTCGACAGCTCAAAAATATGTGGACTTTCTGCAGATCTAACTTTGAATCCTAATTATAATAACTGTAATGATTCCGAAATGTCTGCAAGTTCAAATAGTAATTGTGTTGACAATCTCAGTGGTTATTCTGATTTAACAAATCCAATTTATTCTGATTGTGACTTTGATCAAAAGGTTGATTTATTTGATATTGCTAATCCATCGAAAAAATCCGCTGATTCTACACTTAAAAAGAGAAAGAGAGAAAGTCTGAATCACATTTAGGAAGGGCAAAGCGACAAAAAGGAATTCTACAGCAAATTAATTGCAAATCAGTAAAAAATTTAACCCCTAGAAAACAACATTTATATTTTTCATGTAGAAATTTGAACGTTCAGTTACACAAATTAAAAACCAAACTCCTGAAGTCAAAGGATAAAATAAAGACCGCATACGATTTAAGTAACAGTCCACTTTTTAACACCATTGAAAATAATTTTGACGCTTCTGGGGTCTCTTTTATAAAATCACAGTTTGTAAATGCAAACAGAAAGAGACCACGTTACACTACAAAAAGCAAAATATTTGCATTAGCTTTATATAAAAGAGGACCTAGATGTTACAGGTTTTTGCAGCAGTTTGTAAAGTTACCTTGCAAATCCACTTTGCAAAAATTGTTAATGAAAGTACCATTTGAAACTGGTATAAACCAGCAATTGTTGGACAAAATTAAGAGGGACGTAAAAAAGGACACCTGTAAAGCCAACAGATGTTGTTCCATTATGTTTGACGAAATGGCTTTGTCAGAGGAGCTGACATATTCAAAAACTTCAGATAAATTTGTAGGGTATGTTGACTTGGGAGGTTCTCGTCGCCAAAATATTATTGCTAATCACGCTTTAGTGTTTATGGTAAGGGGTGTACGTAAGTCATTTAAACAACCTGTGGCTTACTACTTTACGAGAGACACAATAAAGACAAAAGACTTAACGACAATATTATCTGAAGTCATTACAGCAGTTCAATCTACAGGTTTAATTCCAGTAGCCATTGTTTGTGATCAGGCTTCAACAAATAGGTCAACAATTAAGGACAAGGTGATACGCTCGACTGGTAAGGTTAATAAACCATATTTTTTTGAAAATAAAAAAAATCTGTGTTATACATGATGTTCCCCATCTGCTAAAAATTACTAGAACGGCTCTTGCGAAATATAATATTAAATATGACACAAATAAAACAGCAAAGTTTGAGTATCTCCAAAAGGCTTATGATAATGATCAGAAAACTAGACGTTTTTCCCAGTTACCTCGAATAAGAAGGTCATATTTGGATGTCGACAAAAAGAATTCATTTCTTAAAATGAAAGTATCTGTAGCAGCTAAAACTATGAGTCATAGTATGGCTGCTGCTATTGAATCACAAGTATCTACTGGGAATAATCCTTTACCATCTGAAGCTATTCATACTGCGGAATTTGTTGCTGACATTGATAAACTTTTTGATTCTTTCAATGGCATTTCTAGGTACCCTGTCAAAAGTAAACCTTTGAGATGTAGTATTACAAAAAAGTCCAGGCATATAACATTTTGGGATCAGATTATTCACAAAATAGATAACTGGCAATTTCAGCCGACGAACGGAGGCAAAATAAAGCAAAACATGCCTGTTAAAACTGGTTGGAAGAACAACATCAGAGCGATGAAGGAGGTCTGGAAAATTTGTAAAGGTGCTGGAATGACATATTTACGCCCCAGGTCATTTTGTCAAGATCCTCTTGAAAATTTATTTGGCACAATTCGTCAACATGGTCATGGAAATGTAAATCCTTCATGTTTCCAATTTATTGGATCTTTAAAGACATCGATTTTAAATAATTTAGTTTCAAATAGAAGTCCAGGTGGTAATTGTGAAAAAGACGAATGTCAGTTACTCAATAATTTGCAAGACTTTTTAGAACAGGAAAATGAATTAGCCACACCTTTGGTTGAGCATGAGAATAATGAATTATTGAATCTTGAATTACCTCCTCCAGTTTTCATTAACGATTGCAATTTTGATACACAGGCATTAACGTATGTTTGTGGTTATTTTGTAAAAAAAATTGAACATTTTACTTGTACTGAATGTAGGCATTGCTTGATTGACGAAAATTTGCAACCATATCATATATTCACATATTTTAAGGAATATGATGACAACATGCAAAGACTGACATATGTCACAAAACACCTATTACAATATATTGCTCATGTTCATGATATTATTGTACTATGCATAGATAGACTAGGGCATATTTCAAATATAAAAACCAAAATTTTTAATGTTATTAAAGAAAATACAGATTTTACTTGGTTCACTTGCGAAGACCACAAAAAAGATATTGTGATGTTATTACTTAATATAGCATTTGACTTAATAGCAAAAAAGCATGCAGGTACTATTAAAAAAAGTATAGAGGAAGCAAGAAATGCTAAAAAACAAAAAAATAAATTAAAAAAAATTATTCATGCTAGTAGATAATAATTTCTGTACATATTAAAACACTAATTAATTATTATTATTCTTCAATGCACAGAATGTCTCCAAATTGTTTTAAATAATATACAACACTCTTATATATTTGTACAACGTAAATTATTAATTCTTTGGGTACATAATGCAGTCTTCATTTAAAAAATCCAAATTTAAAGATCTACAATCTTCTTGTCCTATAAATTGAATCGGTTGCACACACTATTAATTTTTGACATTTTTGTCATTCTGTTTTTTAATTTAATAAAAGGCTGGTCGTTAATACCTGCAACGAATGGTACTTTCCTAAGAATTTTAAACAGAGTTGACTTTGAAGGTAACTGTAAAAAGCTTCTTAAAGATCTGTATGAACTTCTTAAATTTCTATAAAAAATTATCTTATTACCGCCACAATCGTTTTGGGTTACAAAATGGTTGATAGAGCAAACTTGTGGAATCTGTTATGAACGGTACTCGTAAAAAAATATCACTAAAGTGGTCTTCACACAAATAAATCTTAATTTGTCATTTTTTAATGCCCCAAAATTAAGTTAGATGTGTGGCTAAACACGCTTGCAGCGTACACTATACATGTAAAAATAATTAATAAATTTAGGTATGAATAAATTGTTAAGTTATATTATTTAATGGCATAGTTTTTAAGTTATATTATTGTGTATTTAGGTTTCTTGCTGTATTTGGGCAAGTAACCTGTAAGCAAAAAAAATGTATTATTACTAATGTATTATGTATTATATAAATAACTGTTATATTTACTAACGTTGTTTTTTATTTGTAATAGATATATTAATGGTTTCAAATTTTTTGGGCAAGTAACTTGTAAGAAAAAAAAGTATTATTAATATTGTTATTAATGTATTATGTATTATAATAACTGTTATTTTTACTAACATTGTTTTTTTATTTGTAATAAAAATAAAAAATAATATTTTTGTCTTATTTACCACTGCCAATTGCTTTGAAATGAAAGCACAACGCCGAGCACGGAATTGTGGCACATATGTCTTTCTAATGACATATTTCTAAATCAATGCCTTAATAATATGTTAAACTGAATGACAGGTGTTCCCAGGATTCCATGCTCGGCGTGTTGCTGACTAGGTACGGTACTCGTTTGAATGGTTGGCGCCCTTACGCATAGTTCGCCCAGACAAAAGTGGTGCGCTGTGTTCACTGTGTCAAACAAGAGCATGGTATCTACTCGTCTCTCTCTTGCTTTGTCTATGCCCGTAACCGACTCACCACCAATACAACGCTCCGCTCTCCAACCTCGCCACACTGTACAGCGGACACGTGTACAAAGCGACGATTTTGTCAGTTTGGAACTCCGAATACGCCTGCGCCGAGTGTTCCAACTTGGACGCAGCCGGCGCCAACAACTCGTCCAACCACGTGGCCACTTTTCCGCTTTCCGTGGCCACGGAGCAACGCGTGGAACAAGCCGACAGATGGACGATTTTCTCGCCCAATAAACCCAACGGTACGGTCTTGGGGTGGTGGATGTTGGGGTTCTCTGGGTGTCTGTACGGTTCTGGGTCGTTCCACCGCCACTGGAAAACCTGTCCGCTCGACGACAGCGCGATCAATTCCGAATACAAACTCGCAATCTGGACGAATTTGGGCGCAGAGTCTGGCCAGAACTCGAAATCGTCGGAGATCCACAGAGGGCACGCGTTGTCTTTCTTTTTGTGATCTGGAACCATCGGGTGAGGTTTGAACGAAGTTGAAGTAGACCCTCACCTGAATCTTTTTCGTACGGACTCTCTCTCAGCGCCGTCTCCAGCCACCTCCTCGGTCCGAAGTACTGCCTGTCCCTCCACCTGGAAAAGTTCTCCCTATCCCTATCCGAACTCGAACTGTTCGCCGGGGGCGCGTCCCTATCAGCCAATCGACTTCTTCCACTGCCGCGACTGTTAAGGAAGCTTGTTTGAGCAAAGTCAAACATTCCCAATCGTTAGTCAAAATATAAAAAAAAAGAAACACGCAACAAATCACGACTAGCAAAAAGAATGTTAAAAAGCGCCAAACTAAAAAACAAAACAAAAGCCAAAAGCGCCGTTCCACGCCAAACCCCGATTTTGATTTTTTTGAAAAAAACTTGACATGGAACGACCCAACCCGAACCCTTACTTTCTTATGCCCGAGTAGCCGAACATGTCCTCGGAGAACATCGCGTCGGCGTCGATGATCACCGAATGGTCGGTGTGGAAGCCGCCGTCGAGCAGGGAGATGAGGTCCTCGGGGACGTACGAATCGGCGGCGTCGTCGCCCTCCTCGCCCTCTTCGTCGTCGCGCGACAGCAGATTGTTCACGGCCAGGTTGACGTCCAGGTTGGTGCGCTGCAGCTCGCGGATGATCAGGTTGCGGCTCTTCCCCTGCAGAACAACCTGGGCCTGCGAGACCAACTCCTCGGGCACGTAGGGCGCGGGCACGGTGACCATGGGCCGGCCGCTGCTCGAACTGCTGGTGCCTATGATGACGGGGGCGCCGCGGCCGCCTGGAACCGACCCTGGGAGTCACTAACCAACTCCGACCCAAATACTGCGACTGCGCCATTTTTAAACCAATCGCATCGATTGCAGTTGTAGAAGTCGCAGAATATGTATTTTTATTTTTATTGGTTATTAATACATACTTCAATTAAGTAGACTTTGAGTGATGAATCATACTGTATGTTATTTCAAACACAAAAACAATAATTGAATTTAAATATGCAAAAATATTTTTAAACGTCCCGTCGAAGTTTCATCAATATTATCGAGTGAGCTTGGAGCCATTTTGTACACTCCATTCGTTCAGTAAACAGACTATAATTCGTGAGGAACCATTCAAAACCAAGTTTTAACTCACAAAGTTATAAAACATGAAAATTAATAATTAAGAAAAAATACAAGAGTACATCTCGGTGAAACACCCTGTATTAATAAAATTCAAGTAATTGTGAAATTTGAAAAAATAAAATTGGTTGCACGCGATGTAATTTTTTTATTAGGTGGTGTTTTTCCAGCGGTCTATTTTTCCGATGTTAATGATATGAGGGCAGCGTTTGGACCCTCCCCGACTTTGAAGTGACACGCCACCACCTGCCACACATCCCACCCCTCGCTAAACCCCGCCCCCGACCGCCGCCCAACTCACCGCTGTTGCTGCCGCCCCTGATCGCCGTGTTCGACCTCATGATCCTCGCCCTCGTCCGCGGCATCTGTCTGCCGCTCCCCGTCGGCTTGCTGCTGCCGCTGCCGCCGGCGCCGCCGCTGCCCGAGCCTCCGGTGGCGCCTCCTCCGGAACTGCGCAACAACCAAGATCTTGGTTGTATAAATGAAACATCGTGAATAATACGGGACTGCACAGTGTGTAAATAGGGGGCACATCGCACTGCACCGTGCTGATGCATCGAGAAGTACTCACTTTTTCGTTGAGTCATTCTTGCTCAGGTCGAGGCGGTCCGAGAGCACGTTGTAGGAGACGCGGCAGACCTTGCCGTCGTCCAGGAGCAGCGCGATGTACGTGGGCCCCAGACAGATCTTCTTGATGCCGCTGCGGAGGCCGGAGAGGCCCGGGTGGGAGCTGTGCCCCAGTCGGTTTATCCTATCGGCTACTTCTTTTAATCTGGAACGGGAGCGCGACGTTGTGTAATGGGATCGAACGCTTATGCAATATCGAGCGCCAACGTTGGGGCTACGATTCGGGGAATTTTCCAGAACGGCGACGCTGTGGCGAGAGGAAAACGAGGAGAAAAGGGTTGGGAAGCGGAAATGAGGCGGCGGGAGCGGCGTCCATTTCGTTCTCCATTTTTAACAAATGCAACACTTGTTCATGGAAAATGGAGGAAGAGGCGAGAATGAAAGGAATTAAGTACAGTTGTCTTACCTATCATTGAACTGCTCCTCGTTCCCGGGTAAAGGGTGTACGACGTATTGCAAACACGACATGGCTTAAAAACACTTATCACAACTTTATTATTGTAAAATTAGTCCAAAAGCTACCAGATAATCACCACATTTTGCCACAACACCGAGAAACATTCGCCATGTTTTCGGGTTTTGGCTTGAATGGTGCGAAGTTGGGCAAAGGTCGACGCAGGGTGGGCTTGACAGGTAAAAGTACTAGAGTGAAGTTGCTGCCAGGGTGGTAAATTTGAAATGGAAACGTTTCAAACAAGTTTCACCCAATTTTCCGAAAACAATCACGCATTTGGCGAGTTTGACTAGTGGGGGTGTTTTTCCTCCTCCCGCATACAAATTATTTCAAGGTCTTTAGATCGAACACGCCAAATATCTAACCCCACTTTTCACACAGCTGATTATCCTGGCAAGGACAAATTTACTCACAATTATTAATAAGTACGCATTATTTGTTTAAAGCACAGTTTAAAGTAGAGCCAAAGGCAACATAAGGAGCACATGGGGAATATTTCGAGCTTGGTAAAAATAATTTGTGTATATTTATCACTATCAAATTTGCTTGGGTACACATGGCGGGGCCTGTGATTGAATTAATCTAAGCTAAGTGACCTCAGATTCGTAATCTATGGAAAATTCTCTGCATTCTAGAACTTATTTCATTGCATTATAATCACTGCTCAGTTAGGTGACATGGTTGAAGCATAGATTAATATAGATGCGACAGACAGGCTGATTTTGCAAAACCACTCTTATTGACATTGGAGTCCTCAACCGCCAAAGGCAAGCGCCAAATTTAAATAGTCGATGCCAATAAAAAAACTTGATTCACTACAACTCGTCGCCTGAGAACTTGTTTGATCCACAGACCAGAGCGCCCTCAGGCCATTGTCGACTTAAAATTACAATTTCTCAATTAACCAGTTTTTCAATTTTTAAATATTTCGATTTTTTTAAGTTTCGATTGTACAGTTTTTCGATTGTGCAATTTCTTGAATTTTTTTTTTTTTTTCTCTTAATTTTTTTATTTTTGAAGTTATGTGCTATGCCTCAAAGCCAAAACACTTTGTTTTATCAATTCTTCATTGTTTTGATTTTTCGTTTCGATTTTTCATTTCGATTTTTCAGTAGTTTCAATTTTTAGATTTACAATTGTTCAGTTTTTCATGTTTTTTAAATTTTTTGACTTTTCAAGTTTTTTTTTCCAATTTTGGATTTTTCTTTTCAATTTTTTAATTTTCAATTTTTCTGTCTTCCGATTTTTATTTTCTCTATTTTTTCAAAATTTTATTTTTAATTTAAATGATTAAATTTTTCAGTGTTTCAATCCTTCAAATTTTCGATTTTTAAATATTGAAAAATCGAAAATTTGATTTTTTCAACTTTTCGATTTTCATTCCGATTTTTCAGTGTTTCGATTTTTCAATTCTCAATTCCTGTTTTTCGATTTTTTAGTTTCTCTATTTTTCCAAATTTTCAATTTTTATTTAAATGTTGCAATATTTAACGATTCAACTTTTCAGTGATTCAGTTTTGTAATTTCGATTTTTCAGTAGTTTCAATTTTTAGATTTACAATTGTTCAGTTTCTCATGTTTTTTAAATTTCTTGACTTTTCAAGTTTTTTTTTCAATTTTTCTATCTTCCGATTTTTATTTTCACTATATTTTTAAAATTTTATTTTTAATTTAGTGTTTCAATTCTTCAAATTTTCGATTTTTCAATATTTTCATTATTCAATTTTTGGATTTTGCGATTCTTCAATTTCAGTTGCTCTGATTTTCTTTTCGTAAGTTTCTCTATTGTTTAAATTTGTCAATTCTTCGAGTTTTGAATATTTTCAATTCTTCGAGTTTTGAATATTTTCAATTTTTAAATTTTTAATTGTTCAATTTTTTATATTTTTCAATTGTTCATCTTTCAAATTTTATTTTTTCAATTGTTGGATTTTTCATTCCGATTTTTCACTGATTTGATTTTTCAATTTTCAATTTCTCTACGTTCCGCTTTTTCAATTTTCAAATTCGCTGTTTTCCAATTTTTCAATTTTCAAATTCGCTGTTTTCCGATTTTTCAATTTTCAATTTTCCTATTTTTAATTTTTTTAATTTCTCTATTTTTTCCAAATTTCAATTTTTATTTAAATGTTGCAATAATTTAACAATTCAATTTTTCAGTGATTTAGTTTTACAATTTCTGTATTTCGATTTTTCCGTTTCTTTATTTCTTGAATTTTCAATATTTCGGTTTTTTAGTCTTTTCCATCAGAATTTTAATTTTCAGTTTTTCATTTATTTCAATTTTTCGTTTTTATGATAATCGAAAATTCGAAAAATCGAGGAATCTAATAATAGAAAAATCGAAACCTCAAAAAATCGTAAAACCGAAACATTGAAAAATCGAAATATCGAAGAACTGAAAATGGAAAAAATATAAAATTCAAAAATCTAAAATCTAAAAACCGAATAACGAAAAATCGAGAAATCGAAACCCCCAAATTTAAAAAGTCGGATAATTGAAAACTCGAAACACCGAAAGACTGGAAAATCGAAAAACCGAAAAATCGAAAAATCAAAAGATCAAGAAATCGTGGAGTCGAAAAGTCGAAGAAATGAGAAACCGAAATAGGCTAAAATCGAAAAATTGAAAAATTGAAAAATCCAAATCACGATAAATCGAGAAATCAAAAAACTTAAAAATTTGAAAAATTTAAAAATTGAGAGATTGAAAGATCAAAAGAACGAGAAATCGAAAAGTGATGAAGTCGAAAAATTGAAAAATAGAGAAATCGACAAACAAAAAGTTAAAAGTTGAAACATTGGAAAAGCGGAAAAATCAAAAAAACGAAAAATTGGAAAACTGAAAAAACTGAGAACCCGAAATAGGCCAAAATGAAAAATTGAAAAACTAACAAATCGAAAACCTGAACAATCAAATCTCGATAAATCGGGAATGAAAAATTAACAAATCGAAAAATTGAAAAACAGAACATCTAAAACCAGGAAGTCGAAAAATCGAAAGATTAAGAAATATTGAAAAATTAAAATATCAAAAGATTGAAAAATCTAAAATTTAAAAATCCAAAAATTGAAAAATCGAAAAAGTAATAAGGTAGACACATCAAAAAATCCAGAAGTCAAAAATAGAAAAGCCGAAGAACTGAAATATTGAAAAATCCTAAAACTGAAAAATCAAAAAATCAAAAAAGTGAAGTCGAAAAATAGAAACCTTTAAAAATCGAAAAATTGAAAAATCAAAAACCTGAAAAATCAAAAAATTAAAGAAATGAAGAACAGGAAAATCGAAACACTCGAAGGTCAAGAAATGGGAAAATCAAAACATCGATTAATTGAAAAATCGAAAAATTGAGAGTTTTTAAAAATCAAATTTGAAAAATTAAAAAATCGAAAATTTGATAAAATGACAGTTGAAAAACAGAAAATCTAAAACCGGGAAGTCGAAAAATCAAAATATTAAGAAATCGAAAAGTCTAAAATTTAAAAATCGAAGAATTGAAAAAACAATTGAAAAACAGAAAATCTAAAACCGGGAAGTCGAAAAATCGAAACATTTGAAAAATTGAAATATGGCAGAGCTGAAATGAAAAATCGAGAAATCGAAAAATCAAAAATTTTAAATATTGAAAAATTAAAATACCAAAAAAATTGAGAAATCTAAAATTTAAAAATCGAAAAAGTAAAAAGTCGACACATCGAAAAATCCAGAAGTCAAAAATGGAAAAGTCGAATAACAGAAATATGAAAGATCCCAAAACTGAAATATCGAAAAACTGAAAAATGAAAGAAAAACTGACGAATCGAAAAACTGAAAAATCCCAAAACTGAAATATCCAAAAACTGAGAATCCAAAGAATCGAAAAATCTAAAAAGTGAAGTCGAAATATCGAAACCTTAAAAAAATCGAAAAATTAAATAACAAGTAAACTGAAAAATCCCAAAACTGAAATGTCCAAAGACTGAGAAATTAAAAAATTGAAAAATTGAGAAATCGAAGAATCAAAAAAGTGAAGTTGAAAAATCAAAACCTGAAAAAATAGAAAAATTGAAAAACCAAAAAACCTGAAAAATCAATTAATTGAAAAATCGACAAATAAGGAGTTTATAAAAGTCAAAAATTGAAAAATCGAAATATTTAAAAATCGTAAAATTGAAGAGAAAAAGTAAAAACCGAGAAATTGAAAAATTGAGAAATTGTAAAATCCAAAAATTGAAACTGAAAAATCCCCAAACTTAAATTTCGAAAAACTGAGAATTCGAAAGTTGAAACAGCAAGAAATTATGGTCGAAACCGGTTAGGATGTGTATCAGATCACGGATAAATCAAATCGTTTCCGGACGCTTAGAGTCGACATTGGCCTGAGTGCGCTGTGGTCTGTAGATCAAACGAGTTCTCAGACGACGAACTGTATGTAATTCGTGTGACCTGAATTTAAGTGAAGGAAACAGTAACCAGCTTGTAATATTCTGGTAAATCTAGTGTCAATTTGTCGAAAGTAAAACGCGTCGTTAAAAATATTATGACATTTTTTTCTATTGTACTTAATTTTATTCCTAGTTAGAAACAAACACTGTTGCCAACATAAGTCGAGGAGTCCTCAATCGTCATTTAATTTAAACTATGACGCTTCTCTCTGTTCTTTGGTTGAAGGTTGAAGGTGTCTTGGAAAGCAGCTAACCTTCCTTAGCGATTTTCGTCATCTTGCTCAGGCCCTATTAGTAAACAGTACTAAAATTCGGTTAAAATACAACTAATCTTCCAAATTATGGTTATGTTGTTTGATTTTGAGGTCACATTGAATTGAGTTTACTGTGATCGGGACTAATCCGGGTCGAAGAAATCAGTCACTCACCAGTAGCCTAGTTTGTAGGCCGTGCCCCCCGCAGGACACTCACCATTTAAACTGAAACATTTTCAAAAAATTTTGAAAATAGTTTTGGTTGTATATGCAACCCAAAATACACAAGTGACAGTTCGAAACATAACCTATAACCACTTTTTATTAAAATATAGTTGTAAACACCGCTATTTTCGCATCATCTTTGTTTATATTTGAACCTGTAATATAAAAACTACCAGTCGTAAGCTTATTGTAAAACGAACACACTCTTACGTTACTTAACCCCACTTTCCAGCCATGGATTTTTTCAACCAACCTGACCCCAAAACGGCCCTGTTTGAGTGTGCACGAAGCGAAATCGACCAATACCGTTGCCCTTTGTGTCCACTCTTCCAAACTAACTGTCTAGCGTACTTAAAAAAACACAACAAAGATCCTGTAGATGTACACCCTAAAGATGTAGAATACAGGTGTCAGAGCTGCCCTTTCACTACACACTCCCAATACTTGTGTTCGCGGCATCACCAGTCGCTACAACACGACTTGTCCCCCTATGAAACCCCCGAAAAACTCAGTTGGTACACATGCCCCCACTGCCCTTTCAAAACCCCCAATAAACCCTTCCTGGAGATCCACCTTCGTATACACTCATCTGACTGCCTCAAGTGCGATTCGTGCGACTTTAAAACTTATCATGAGCTAAGTTTGGACCAACACAGGGCGCTGGAGCACGCAATGTGGCTCGTGTGTCCGCTTTGCCCCTTCAAAACAATCTCGTCGAACAGGCTGGCCCTCCACGAACGTAGAAGACACAGTACAAGGAACCTCGAGTGGATTGTGTGCTCAAAGTGCCCCTTTAAAACGAAATTAAAGTCGGCGATGAGCAAACACACCAAAATTCATGAGTCGCCCAACTTATTCTGTAAGCACTGTTCATTTAAAACTCAGTTTGAAGACATGTTGGAGCGTCACGTTGTCAGGAAGCACCCCAAAAACGTCCAATTGTTTGCGTGTGATCAGTGTGACTTAAAAACCAAAAGTAGGAAGTGGTTGCGCAAGCACAAAAGTACGCAGCATGGGCGGAAGTGGTTTCAGAAAATTTGTGTGATGTAGGTTGGCAAGAGTGGGAGTCTAATCACCCAAAGTGAATCAATCCTTTATTAAATTAGTACAAACATAATCATACAAAAAACTTAAACCTAAATGAAAGTTATCTTTGTTCTGGTCTGATTTACTTGCCAAACATTCAATTCCTCATACTCTTCAATGCACGAATCCACTTGATCCGGATTGTACCCCTTGGTGGCACATTTTTCCACGACATCGGCGATCTTGACGGTCTTCGCATCCCCCGCTAACTCTCGAACAATTCCGAAGATCTGGTCGTTCACATTTGGTGGCCTGTACCCCCTTCCTTCGAACGTCTGCTTCAGAGAATCTTTACTCATTTCCATCAACCTAATCGCTTCATTCACGTCATCTTTTTCCACTACATTGGACAACCTGAGCCTTGCTAAAGCCGTCGACAACCGCAAAATCCCCAATAAATTCCTAGCTGAGGTGAAAGTCATGTCTTTGGAATTCCTAGCTTCCTTACGCAACTCTACATAGGCGTTCACGATATAGTCAGTCAATTCTTCCGGGATTGCCGGTTCTTTCAGTTTACATAAAGCTATATATTTGCGCATTACGGACATATCAAGGGCTTGGGTTTCCATAGGGGGCTGCTTGCAGTGCTGGTGGACGTAGGTGATGTGTTTAGCAAGCCTTAAATCGTTGTCACGATTAGCTTTGTCTTGGATCAACCACAAGAGATCAAAACGCGACAACAAAGCAGCCGGGAGTTGAATGTTTTGTTCAATGGTGCGTTTGGGGTTGTAGCGACCGAACGCAGGATTGGCAGCCGCCAAAATCGACACTCTAGCGTTTAAACACGTCATAATTCCAGCCTAAAATTTTTTAATTTATTTTTTTTAATCTAAAATAATAAAATAAAAAAAAATAGTCACCTTAGCAATACTGATGGTTTGCTGCTCCATCACTTCGTGTATAGCCGTCCGATCAGAATCAGCCATTTTATCAAACTCGTCAATACAACAAACCCCTTGATCAGCCAAAACCAGCGCGCCCCCTTCCAACATCATTTCGCCAGTCATGGGGTCCTTCATCACCGCAGCTGTTAAACCGACGCCCGAGGAGCCCCTTCCGGTCGTGTACTGACTACGCGGGGCCAATCTGTCTATGTACCCCAATAACTGGGATTTGGCAACTCCGGGGTCACCCATCAAACAAATGTTGATGTTGCCGCGGATTTTCATACCATCGGGACGGCGATCGACGCCCCCCACTAACAAAAGAAGGAGCGCTTTTTTCACATCTAGATGGCCATAGATTTCAGGGGCCAGCGACACCGCCAGTTTCGTGTAAAAATCATCTTCGGTTAAAGTTTCGAGCTCCTCGGGGGTGAGGGGCTTAGACGAGTCTTCATCTTCGGCGGTTTTGTTCAAAGAGACGATTCTCTGCGAAAAAATTTAAATTTGAAACACACATTGAAAAAAAAATGGCGGGTGACAGTCGGTAAAGTAGAAAGCGATCAAAAAAATAAAACGAAAATTATAAAGAAAAACGCGTTCATAACAATAGGGTCGTTCCAATTTCGAAATTTGTGTTTATTAATACCAAAGACAAGCTTATTTGATAATTAAATGGTCGGTTTTTGGTTATTTCAATCAGTCGATAATGCAGGGAACTTTGACGTTTGGAACCAAAATTTGATTCAACTTACGTGAGCTTCTACGTAAGTTTCTGAAAGCAGCCCCCCCATTATCTGTTTGAAGCCGCTCCTTACAAGCGGCAGGAACACCCCGGTCACCGCGACGTGGTCCCCCGGTAACGCTTGTCTGGTCACTTCGCCCCGACAAAACACAGTCAACGTGCGCGGAATATGCCCCACAGGTACTTGGTCGCTCTAAAAAAAGTCCATACAATCTCTCCTCTAACAAATTCTATTCTTACATGCTCCTGTATTTTAATCTCCTGGAATTTAATAAACTTGGAACCTCTGGTTTGCAGATACAAGCGCCCCCCGGACTTATTGACTCTGCAGTCCTCACTGGGGCACATCAACACCGGCATGAAGCTCAAACCCGCCACAGGCTGATAGGTCTCTGCACCACATTGGTCACAAGTGTAAGTAGCCACAGACATCATTGGTTTAACTTCAGTGCTCCGGGTGACAATGCCCCTCACAGTCACCAACCGACCCACATGTTCGGCTTTCACCTCCCTAATCGGCACGGTTTTATTTGCAGACATGTCTTTAAAGTAAATTTCGCTACAAATTGAAATTGTAGATTGTGGTTTTACAAAATGGGTTGTTCTTACTATCTCCGTAATAACTCTGGCGGAAATTTATTCCTAGCGTCGCGCTGCTCGTTCGGCTGTCTCAGCCGCTGCTCCATCATGAGCCGGTGCTCGATGTAGACGTCCAAGGCGTCTTTGGCCACCACTTCGTGGTCCACGAAGGTGGGTAAAAGCTCGAAGACTACGTCGGACATGATGTTGCCATATCGTCGGGTGTTGCTTATTATGGCTAGGGCTAGCTCGTCGTCGTGGTCGTGCACGTCGTCCAGTTCGATGACCAGCGCGGTTTGCTCCCGGTGCGCTAGTTTGGTTAGCTGGTTTGAGTACTTGAAGTTTTTGTGGCCGGAGCCGTCCTGGATGCAGAACTCCATCAGGAAGGACCTGAGTGATTCTGGAAGAAGAGAGTTATGCGAAGGTAAGGGGGTCATGGGGGTTACCTTTGTCTTTATCGTAGTCTCGGCGAACCATTTTTGTTGATAATAACACAAAACGTTGAAAAAGAGGTGTCCGTTGGTAAACAGGTGTTGTTGATGAAGTTTTGGCGCGAAAAGTTTAGGGGGTTTTTATGTTACCCTATGTTACGTTGGTAGTGGAAATGACATGTCGAAAAATGTCTATAAATTAAAATATTCCAATAAAATCAAGTAAAAGTAGTTGAATTAACACAAATAAAGTAGTTATTAGTGAAATTAAAATACAGTCATTATTTAACACAATCCGTAACGTCAATTATTATAGAAAAGTTCTCTTAACAGTGTTGCCAACAGTTAGGCGGAAAGAGATGGTTTCATGAGTAGTATGCCCGACCTGCTTACTCCCCTCATCGCATAAAGTGGCATTTATAAACTTGCTGTTGGTGTTGCAGGATTTAAATTGTTTGCTACAAAATTTACCATTTTAAACATGCTTTAAGTTTCTTGTCGTCGAAATAAGTCTTCACATATTAACAAACAAAGGCAAAATTTAGCCCCGCCCACCCACCCTATCTCAATTGTGATGATTTTTCTTATTCGTCGTGAGTCAAGAAGGCGGAGCTTAACTGCAAAATCCTTATTTCTCTACGCGAAATTAAAAACACATTTTTGAGAATCGTTCTGTTCAAAGAGTACTATGTACATTACTTATTATTACTTTTTATCGCCGCTTTTTCCGCATTCCTTTGTCATCTCTTTTCTGTACCTTTTTTTTGTCTTGTTTTTCTTACCCATTTTTTATTGTCTTTTTTCGCTTTTTCGTCCTCTTTTGGAGCCTCATTTTTCGTTTTTTGGTCGCTTATTTTTAACCTTTCGTATCGCCTTTTTTGTTTTTTTGTCATTTTTTTGTTGTAATTTTTTGCATATTCTTTTTGTTCTCAGTTTATTGCACCTTTATTTGTCGTTTCTTCTTATTGCTTTTTTTACCCCCTTTTTTTGTTGCCTCCCCCATCTTTTTTTATCGCTTTTTTAAACCCTTATTCATTAACTTTTTGTTGCAATTTTTGCCGCTCCTTTTGACTTTTTTTATTGTATCCCAGTTTCAGTTACCTAAATTTTATAAACTAATGTACTGTTATACTTGTAGTTTATGAATCCGCCTTGATTTTTATCATAATTATTTTACAAGGAAATTTTTTTGTGCAAACTCCGTTGCCAAATTGCCGTTGATAGTAACTTTGATGTTTAACTTTTGCCGTATTTAATGGGGTTATAGAAAAAAAGTGCCGGATTTAAGTTGATTATTACAAAAATGTAGCCCCGCCCACCCACCCTATCTCAATTGTGATGATTTTTTGTTATTCGTCGTGAGTCAAGAAGGCGGAGCTTAACTGCAAAATCATTATTTCTCTACGAGAAATTAAAAACATGTTTTTGAGTATCGTCTTGTTTAAAGAAGACCATGTATATTACGAAAAAAATAAAGCCAAATAGGCCCCACCCATACCCGCCCCGATCTCAATTCTTGGTTGTGATAAATTTTGCATTCGTTGTCAGATCGAGGGGCAGGGCTTAATTAAACATGTTTTAAGTTTCTTGTTCTGAAAAGACGACTACGTATATTAAGAAAAAAGGCAAAATATAAGCCCCGCCCACCCACCCTGTCTCAATTGTGATGATTTTTTTTTAATCGTCGAGAGCCAAAGGAGCGGAATTTAATTGCAAAATCCTTATTATTTCTCCAAGAAATTACCATGTAAGACATGTTTTGTGTATCGTGTTATTCAAAGAATACTATGTATATACATATATTAAAAAAAAATTAAAGCCAAAGTTTAAGCCCCACCCATACCTGCCCTGATCTAAATATGTAGTGATGAAGTTTTCATTCGTTGCCAGATCTAGGGGCGGAGCCTAATTGCAAAATCCGTATTTCCCAACAAAAACTTACCATTTTAAACGTGTTTTAAGTCTCTAGGAATAAAAAAAATCATCCCAATTGAGATGGGGCGGGTGGGCGGGGTTTATATTTTGCCTTTTTTTCTTAATATATGTACATACTATTCGTTGAACAACACGATACTCAAGATTTTAATTCATTGTAAAGAAATAGATATTTTCCAGTTAAGCTTCGCCCTCTTGGTTCACGGCGAATAAAAAAAAATCATCACAATTGAGACAGGGTGGGTGGGCGGGCTTATATTTTGCCTTTTTGTTTTTTAAATATGTGTAAACTTCTTTTCACAACATGTAACTTAAAACATGTTTAAAATGGAAAATTTGTATAAGGAAATATTGATTTTGCAATTAGGCTCCGCCCCAGAATTACAAAATACATATTTCCTTGCAAAAACAAGTCATGTTTTAAGTTTCTTGTCATTGAAATAAGTCTACACATATTAAGAAAAAAAGGCAAAATGCAAGCCCCGCCCACCCGCCCTATCTCAATTGTGATGATTTTTTTTTATTCGTCTTGAGCCAAGGTGGCGGAGCTTAACTGCAAAATCTTAATTTCTATACGGGAAATTATAAACATGTCTCTGAGTATCGTGTTGTTCAAAGAATACCATGTAAATTAAGAAAAAATTAAAGCCAAAGATTAAGCCCCACCCATACCTAAGTAGTGAAGTTTTCATTCGTTGCCAGACGTAGGGGCGGAGCCTAATTGCAAAATCCATATTTCCTTACAAAATTTACCATTTTAAACGTGTTTTAAGTTTCCAAGAAAAAAAAATCATCACAATTGGGATGGGGTGGGTGGGCGGGGTCTATATTTTGCATTTTTTCTTAATATACGTAGTATTCTTTAAACAGCACGATACTCAGACATGTTTTTAATTTCTTGTAAAGAAATAGATATTTTACAGTTAAGCTTCGCCCTCTTGGTTAACGCAAATAAAAAAGATCATCACAATCTAGACAGGGCGGGTGGGCGGGCTTGTATTTTACCTTGTTGTTTTAATAGGTGTAAAATTCTTTTCACAACATGAAACTTAAATGTTTAAAATGGAAAATTTGTATAAGGACACATCGATTTTAAAATTAGCCTCCGTCCCATAATTTTAAAATCCATATTTCCTTGCAAAAATGTACCATTTTAACCATGTTTTAAGTTTCTTGTTGGGAAAAAATGGCTATGTATATTAAGAAAAAAAAAGGCAAAATATAAGCCCCACCCACCCGCCCCATCTCAATTCTGATGATTTTTTTATTCGTCGTAAATCGAGAGGCGGAGCTTAATTGTAAAATACTTATTTTTCTACGAAAAATTATCATGTGAAATAAGTTCTTTAGTAATCGTGTTACTCAAAGAAAACTAATTGTATGTATTAATTAAAAAAGAAAACCAAAATAGAAGCCCCACCCATCCCTCTCGATCTCAATCGTGATGAATTTTTCATTCGTTGTCAGATCGAGGGGCGGAGCGTAATTGCAAAATCAATGTTTCCCTATACAAAATTTCCATTTTAAACATGTTTTAAGTTTCTTGGAATAAAAAAAATCATCCCAATTGAGATGGGGTGGGTGGGTGGGGTTTATCTTTTGCCTTTTGTTTCTTAGTATATGTACATACTATTCGTTGAACAACACGATATTCAAAGATTTAAATTTATTGTAAAGAAATAAATATTTTCCAGTTAAGCTTCGCCCTCTTGGTTCACGACGAATAAAAAGAATCACCACAATTGAGACAGGGTGGATGGGCGGGCTTATATTTTGTCTTTTTCTTTTAGTATGTGTAAACTTCTTTTCACAACATGAAACTTAAAACATGTTTAAAATGGAAAATTTGTATAAGGAAATATTGATTTTGCAATTACGCTACGTCCCAGAATTGCAAAATACATATTTCCTTGCAAAAACAAGTCATGTTTTAAGTTTCTTGTCATTGAAATAAGTCTACACATATTAAGAAAAAAATGCAAAATGTAAGCCCCGCCCACCCGCCCTATCTCAATTGTGATAATTTTTTTTTTATTCGTCTTGAGCCAAGGTGGCGGAGCTTAACTGCAAAATCTTAATTTCTATACGGGAAATTATAAACATGTCTCTGAGTATCGTGTTGTTCAAAGAATACCATGTAAATTTAGAAAAAATTAAAGCCAAAGATTAAGCCCCACCCATACCTAAGTAGTGAAGTTTTCATTCGTTGCTAGACGTAGGGGCGGAGTCTAATTGCAAAATCCATATTTCCTTACAAAATTTACCATTTTAAACGTGTTTTAAGTTTCCAAGAAAAAAAAAATCATCACAATTGGGATGGGGTGGGTGGGCGGGGTCTATATTTTGCATTTTTTCTTAATATACGTAGTATTCTTTAAACAGCACGATACTCATACATGTTTTTCATTTCTTGTAAAGAAATAGATATTTTACAGTTAAGCTTCGCCCTCTTGGTTAACGCAAATAAAAAAGATCATCACAATCGAGACAGGGCGGGTGGGCGGGCTTGTATTTTACCTTGTTGTTTTAATAGGTGTAAAATTCTTTTCACAACATGAAACTTAAATGTTTAAAATGGAAAATTTGTATAAGGACACATCGATTTTAAAATTAGCCTCCGTCCCATAATTTTAAAATCCATATTTCCTTGCAAAAATATACCATTTTAACCATGTTTTAAGTTTCTTGTTGGGAAAAAATGGCTATGTATATTAAGAAAAAAAAAAAAGGCAAAATATAAGCCCCACCCACCCGCCCCATCTCAATTCTGATGATTTTTTTATTCGTCGTAAATCGAAAGGCGGAGCTTAATTGTAAAATACTTATTTTTCTACGAAAAATTATCATGTGAAATAAGTTCTTTAGTAATCGTGTTACTCAAAGAAAACTAATTGTATGTATTAATTAAAAAAGAAAACCAAAATAGAAGCCCCACCCATCCCTCTCGATCTCAATCGTGATGAATTTTTCATTCGTTGTCAGATCGAGGGGCGGAGCGTAATTGCAAAATCAATGTTTCCCTATACAAATTTTCCATTTTAAACATGTTTTACGTTTCTTGGAATAAAAAAATCATCCCAATTGAGATGGGGTGGGTGGGTGGGGTTAATCTTTTGTCTTTTGTTTCTTAATAGATGTACATACTATTCGTTGAACAACACGATACTCAAAGATTTTAA